CGCGTGGTGTGAGGCCCGCCCTGCTGATGCAGGGGACGCGGGTTCGAGCCCCGGTCCGGGAGGATCCCACGTGCCATGGAGCAGCTGAGCCGGTGAGCCATGACCGCTGAGCCTGCGCGTCCGGAGCCTGTGCTCCGCAGCGGGAGAGGCCACAGCAGGGAGAGGCCCGCGGACCGGGGGGGAAAAAAAAAAAAAAAAGATACAAAAAGAAAAATGACAAAATGATCAAATGCTAATCGTATCTGAAACACTGTTCAGAGGCCCTGAGGTGAGCCAACCAAGATGAGTAGCATAAGCAACGGGCTTCTTTCGTTGTCCAGAAAATGCTGCTGCACAGATGAGTATGTAAGGATGGTCAAGTAGATACTGTCTAAGGGTGACACAAAGCAGAAGGTAAGGAGGGCCGTTCCCACCACCCCACCACAAAGGGGGTCTGGTCCAGCTCATCCTTCCTGGCCAGACTTTCATGTCTGACTACTAATCACCTGTATGAGGAAACAGTAACTCTCACCAATTCATTTCACTCAAGGTAATATTTATTTGGGCAAGAGACACTTAAATTGTGAACTTACTTCCAAAGGAACTATGTTCATCCACAAAGATGAGATAAAGAAACCACTGTGAAAAAGCATTTACAATCATCCTCTCTGTACTCAGCTTCACAAAAGGAAGAAAAAAGAGCCTCCGTGGATTACGCCAACACGAGAGTCCCTAATTCCAAGTGTGAGCTCTGCCTGTTACCTTCCAATGGAGAAAAGTGAAATCCTTGAATGTAATGAGATTTGGTAGCTCAAAATCACAAACAAGCCACCTGAACAAATAATCAAATATCAATGATGAGGGACTAACATGTTCTATAAATGTTTCTTAGATACAGTTTTCAAGTGAAAATGGAAACCTCTGAGGAAGCCACCTTAACTCCTCGGCATCGGAACGTTGGTGAATGGCTTAGGCTGAGAATCAGAGCCCTCCCGTGAGACCCTGCGAAGGGGCAGCCCGGTGAGAGGAGGCGACTGATTCACGGAACCAGAACGGAGACAGGATAAAACCGCACTGCTGACTCCTGCTGGCGGTGGGGCCAGTCCAGCCACCCGCGTTTTAGAACAAGAAGCCCAGTCAACACCAGTGCTTCGGCCTGATCTTTCTCTGGCTCTGACCCTGCCGTTGTCTGACTTCCCCCACTGGGCACCCTCCCCCGGGCAAAGTAGTTTCTGTGGGAGGCCATTCCCAGGCCTCTGCAGAGCTGTTTGCTGAACAGAAGAAATGCAACGGAGCTCTAATCCTACTGAAAGGAGCCTTAAGACAAGCAACTGGATCTTCAAAGGACCATAGCATATCATGATTTTAATTAGAGAACTTGCCTTAGCAATCTACACTTACTCTCATGTAGAATACACTCAATTGCCTCATTTTAAAGATGTTTTAAGTGCCAACGTCTCTTTCTATTTAAAAATAACCTCCCTGACCACTCCTTCATTTAACAGACATCTACTTAGCGCCCCTTCCAGCCCAGACACTATGTGGTTGGGATTCTTCTGCCCAGGGAGGGGCCTCGGCTATGCTGGAGGCTGGTCTCAATGAGGGCCGGGCTGGGGGCGGGGGGTGCGTGCCCCTCCCACCCTTCCTTTGCTTGGATGCTTGGCTCTCACTCTTCTGCTATTACCTACATGAATTCTGTGACCAGCAGCCAGGCATTCTCCACCTTCATTTGTATTAAGCACTGCTTTTTTTAAAGAAAACACAATAAAACAGGTTTACAAAAAAGTCCAGAAAAATTCTCCAGGTCTGCCCACATGTGTCCAGCTATAGTCACTCAAAAAGTCAACCCAGGGCTTCCCTGGTGGCACAGTGGTTGAGAGTCCGCCTGCCGATGCAGGGGACACAGGTTCGTGCCCTGGTCCGGGAAGATCCCACATGCCGCGGAGCGGCTGCGCCCGTGAGCCATGGCCGCTGAGCCTGTGCGTCCAGAGCCTGTGCTCCGCAACGGGAGAGGCCACAGCAGTGAGAGGCCCGCGTACCACAAAAAAAAAAAAAAGTCAACCCAGACAGTGCAACAGACAGAAGCCACCTCTGCATATCCCAACAAATATGAATTACCTGAAAATAGAAGCAAACACAAAATTTCAACTAAAAAAACTATAGATTTAGCAGCTGTGTAAAACACAGCATCAATTATTCCTTAAAAATAATTCAATTTCCTGCTTTTATAATTTGTAGTAAAGAGAAATTACAACTATTAATGAAATTCAAATCCTTAAGAGTGAAAGAGAAACGAAGGCTGTCCCACAAGCACCCCACCGGCACAGACACTCACTCCGCGATGTTGAGGTGGCCACAGGACGCTGCTGCATGGAGGGGCGTCCAGCCCTCGCTGTCCTGCTGGTTCACACTGGCTCCGTTCTCCACCAGAAACTTCACCATGTCCACATTTTCATCAATACAAGCCTGAAAAGAAAAGTCCATCCATTTACTCAGCAAGTACTTACTGAGTTCTACACCACGCCAGACACTGCTCTGGGCACGGACAATGCAGCAGCGCTGATGAAATATTAATTTCCATTTCTTGCACCCTGACGCAAGTGTCCAGAGAGTGACTTCTCAGCTTCGTGATCTTATGCAAATCCCTGAATTCTTTCCATGCCTCAGTATCTCAGCTGTGAAACAGGTATAATGATATTTAATCTTATTTATAGTGCTGTTAGGGTTAAACGAGGAAAGTGACTTCTAAAGTACTATAAGTGGGTGAGCTGTTTCATCATTATAAAAAAAAAGAGGGAATGTTAGGAACCACTAATTTGCCCATGAATTTTAAAGGAAAATAGTCACATAGGATGAAATGCAACTTTCTCAGTGGGAAGTTGCAGTTTATCTTCTAGGGTTGCTAAACTATCCCCACTTTGGTGAGAAAGGGTGCAGTGATCCTTTGAACAGAAGAAATGTATTTTCTTTTCATGTATCTTCTGAATAGCTGCAGACAATATGGCAAAGTATGTTTGCAGTTGTGATTGGTTAGGCATCCTTAGCTGCCCAACTCACAGCAACAATGAGGAGAAGGCAGAGAAGCTTTCTGAATAAAGCCTTCCGGCCTACCAGAAGCCCAAAAGGAACAGTCAGAAACAGCAGTGAGGCCTGCCAAGACCCAAAGGTCATCTAGACTATCGACAGAGTAAAAGGAGGCAAAAAGGCCACACCGATAAGAGTGACCATCATCAAGGCTTAGGTGGATCCAAAACAGCTGAGACAATTCAGGACCAGAAACAAGTGAGATTCCTCTTTCTAAAACTTGTCTCTTAATCCCCTCCTTTTCAAAAGAACAAAGGTTAAAGCTTTAGCTGAGAAACAATTATCCGGATCAAAATGATTTTTATAACAATATTAATAGATGATTTGCCTTCTCTGCTGTGTTGACACTTGCACTAACAATGCAAAGCCACGGTGGGGAGAACTCCTGGAGCCTTTGCACAAGTCAAGGGAGGCACCAGAGGGTGCGGGTGCTGACTGTACTCTTCCTGGCCACATGCTCTCAAGCAAAACAAAACTCAAAAAAGGCCAGTTTCACTCAAGAATGACCTTGATGAAGCAGTAAACATCATTAATTTTATTAAACTGTAAGTGTTCGTAATATTCTGTGTGACAAAACAGCAGGCACACATAAAGCCCTTCTCCACGTAACAAAGCACAGCACCATCTCTAAGCAAAAAGCTCCTGTGCATCTGTTTGAGTTGCAAGATTGACGAGCAGCTTTTCCACAGATGCTATTTTTCCTCAAAAGAGCAACCAACAGGTAAATTACGATGATTAAGACTTGAAAACGAACAAGGTGAGCCCGTCACTTCAAAGAAAAAAACCTAATATTTGTTGCCAATGATAAAATTTGACCATCCAATTAAAATCAGAATTTTGGGAAACATACCCACTACCCTGAGCTTGACAGCTTCCTAATGCTCAGTTTTCTGATGCGGTCAATGGGATTATCAACAAATGTGGTCTTTTGATATTAAAGACTGAAACATATTAACATCTGGAAGATATGCATAACTCAATGAACCCATATTTTCCACATCATCAGACGCATGGTGTGAGAAAATCATGCATGGGTAAAAGATTCATTCAAAATACAAGTTAGGCCACTGGATTTTAGTATCTCAAAGTAAGAAAAGTCCACTGACATGGCTTCAGATTCCACACTGCAACTAACATTTAAGAAACTACTATATACTTACTGGCGTTTTAGTATACTGCCAAGAATACCCATAGTTGTCTGGACAGACTATTAAAATACTCCTCCCTTTTCCAAACAGACATCCATGTGAAGCCAGATGTTCTTTATATACTTTAATCAAAACAATGTATCACAAGACTGAATGCAGACACTAAGGGATTTGTAAAAATGTAAAACAATGCCACTCTTCTCATGCCACCATGTCAATGGACTTTTCTTACTTTGCTTTTGTTTTTGAAAGTATATAGCTCTTTCCAATTAAAATATGTGATTTATATGAACATGTAATGGGTTACTGCTATTTTAAATGAATTAATATTAATAATATTTTCAAGATTTTTCAGTAATATATAATAATACTTATGAACGAAAGCTCTTTGGGGTCCTGAATAAGTTTTCAGCGTGTACAGGATTCCTTAGATGAAACAGTTTGAGAACTGATGTCTTCAGTGAAATATACCAAGGGATATTTTATGGTGATAATGAGCGACAGTTTAAACAGCAAAAGGTTACTGTGGTAAGAATTCAGGCCAGGGGCTTCCCTGGTGGCGCAGTGGTTGAGTTTCACTCAAGAATGACCTTGATGAAGCAGTAAACATCATTAATTTTATTAAACTGTAAGTGTTCGTAATATTCTGTGTGACAAAACAGCAGGCACACATAAAGCCCTTCTCCACGTAACAAAGCACAGCACCATCTCTAAGCAAAAAGCTCCTGTGCATCTGTTTGAGTTGCAAGATTGACGAGCAGCTTTTCCACAGATGCTATTTTTCCTCAAAAGAGCAACCAACAGGTAAATTACGATGATTAAGACTTGAAAACGAACAAGGTGAGCCCGTCACTTCAAAGAAAAAAACCTAATATTTGTTGCCAATGATAAAATTTGACCATCCAATTAAAATCAGAATTTTGGGAAACATACCCACTACCCTGAGCTTGACAGCTTCCTAATGCTCAGTTTTCTGATGCGGTCAATGGGATTATCAACAAATGTGGTCTTTTGATATTAAAGACTGAAACATATTAACATCTGGAAGATATGCATAACTCAATGAACCCATATTTTCCACATCATCAGACGCATGGTGTGAGAAAATCATGCATGGGTAAAAGATTCATTCAAAATACAAGTTAGGCCACTGGATTTTAGTATCTCAAAGTAAGAAAAGTCCACTGACATGGCTTCAGATTCCACACTGCAACTAACATTTAAGAAACTACTATATACTTACTGGCGTTTTAGTATACTGCCAAGAATACCCATAGTTGTCTGGACAGACTATTAAAATACTCCTCCCTTTTCCAAACAGACATCCATGTGAAGCCAGATGTTCTTTATATACTTTAATCAAAACAATGTATCACAAGACTGAATGCAGACACTAAGGGATTTGTAAAAATGTAAAACAATGCCACTCTTCTCATGCCACCATGTCAATGGACTTTTCTTACTTTGCTTTTGTTTTTGAAAGTATATAGCTCTTTCCAATTAAAATATGTGATTTATATGAACATGTAATGGGTTACTGCTATTTTAAATGAATTAATATTAATAATATTTTCAAGATTTTTCAGTAATATATAATAATACTTATGAACGAAAGCTCTTTGGGGTCCTGAATAAGTTTTCAGCGTGTACAGGATTCCTTAGATGAAACAGTTTGAGAACTGATGTCTTCAGTGAAATATACCAAGGGATATTTTATGGTGATAATGAGCGACAGTTTAAACAGCAAAAGGTTACTGTGGTAAGAATTCAGGCCAGGGGCTTCCCTGGTGGCGCAGTGGTTGAGAGTCCGCCTGCCGATGCAGGGGACACGGGTTCATGCCCCGGTCTGGGAAGATCCCACATGCCGCGGAGCGGCTGAGCCCGTGAGCCATGGCCGCTGAGCCTGCGCGTCTGGAGCCTGTGCTCCACAACAGGAGAGGCCACAGCAGTGAGAGGCCCACGTACCGCAAAAAAAAAAAAGAATTCAGGCCTGAATTCAGAGGGTAACTACTACACTTAAGAAGCACCTATCCTACCAAGAGGACTTCAGGAAACCCCTCCAGATAAACCGCGTGTCAATACCGCTTAGAAACAAAGGATGGATGAAAAGCGGTTGATTCAATCTAGAGGATATTTAATTAGGCAACCTTGGTTACAAAATGACATCTTCATTCATTTCCCCCAAACCGTTTGATACTCTTTTTACAATTAGTGAGATTAGCTAAACATCTCAACCTAGATTTGATTTGATGTCGCATAATATATTCCTCCAACCTGATCTTTTGAGGCCAGACGACTTTTATAGTCAGTATTCACGACAGTCTCTTTTTCAACAAGCAGCTCCAAAAATTACATTTCTTCTATGATGTTTTCTCAGGTTGATCAATTTCGACAACTTTCCCCATTTATACTTCTTTACCAGGTAAAATATTTCATAACTATTCATAACATTAAAAACTATTTCATAATTATGATTATCACTAAATCTCTCATATACTGTATGTCTGCCAGTCTATAATCCCACCAGGCAAGATTTAACCAACCCCTTGCAGAGTACCTCACTAAAAACTATTAATACTTTAACTGCGAGGATGGAAGAGGGCATTTAAAAAAAATTTTTTTTTAATTAATTTATTTTTGGTTGTGTTGGGTCTTCGCTGCTGTGTGCGGGCTTTCTCTAGTCGTGCCAAGTGGTGGCTACTCTTCGTTGTGGTGCATGGGCTTCTTACTGCGGTGGTTTCTCTTGTTGCGGAGCACGGGCTCTAGGTGCCCGGGCTTCAGTAGTTGTGGCTCGTGGGGTCTAGAGCGCAGGCTCAGTAGTTGTGGTGCACGGGCTTAGTTGCTCCGCGGCATGTGGGATCTTCCCGGACCAGGAATCAAACCTGTTTCCCCTGCATTGGCAGGCGGATTCTTAACCACTGCACCACCAGGGAAGTCCGAGGGCACTTTTCAAAAAGGTGCTAAAGTCCAAGGAGAAGAAAGTGTTTTAGAGGTTAAGTACTCTCTCTGCCCATGCAGTCATAAACTCCTGTGTCAGGAAGGTCAAATGTGCCATCTTGACCTGTGTTAAGCAGCTGGGTCAACTGCTCCTTGCTTGGCTGCAAATGTATTTGGCTCTGAAAGAACAGCCTGAACACTTAGCCAATGGCCACACCACCACTAGGCAGAATTTTGGAAGCCAGTGTTTTCAAGATGATTCTTCACCCTTTGCAGATGATGGCATCCAAATTCCTGAGGCTAAAATAACCCCAGCTAGTCCAGGTATCAAACAGGAGAAAACCTGTCTTTTCTCTTTCCTCCCCTCTTACTTATCCCCCTTCCTTTTCTTAATCTCCTTCACCCATCATAACTTTAGTTCTCTTCCTTTTCAGTTTCATAATTTCCGTCTATGAATCTTGAATCCTTGATACAGTATTTTTTTTAAGAATGACACTGTGAGGATGTCCGAGACAATAACAACAAAAAGCTGGTCTAATCTGCGACGTAATCTGACAAAGCATCAATCTCCAAAGAATCATTTCAGAGAAAATAAAGCAGGACAACTGTTAGGTGATTCCCAACACCCTCCACAGAGTGCAGGACAGTGTATCGTGAGAAGCATCAGCTTTGGAGCCAGGCGGACCTGGGCTCGTGCCCCAGCCCTGCCAGCGCACAGAGTCTTGAGCGAGAACACAACCTGAGCGCCAGTGGCTCACCTGGAGCACGGGAATGCTGCCCACCCCGCAGGCCTTAGTGAGGGTGTAGGAGATGAGCCCTTGGCAGAGTGCGTGGCACTGCTGTTGTCAAGCCCACTGCCCTCCAGCTCCAGCACCCTTTGGGAGGAAGGCAGCTTGGTTGCAAATGTCTTTGAACGAGCAAGGTTCGGGAGCCTGTTTGTTAATCTGCCTTCAGGAAATTCCCTCTAGGGCCCAGGATCCTGCGGGTTCCTAGGGTCAGGAGCCATAGGACTCAAAGAGTATGTCCACAGTTAACTAAAGAGGATCGTCGTCGGGCAGACCAGCCAACAAATTTGTAGGACAGTCACTCTCATGACATGTCTTGGAGTGACCGTTCTCTGTTCTTTGTTTTTGTTTTGGTTTTTTTTTCCCCTCCAGAAGAATATGACTAAAGTCATGGAGGAGAGACAAACAGTCCCTGAAAACCTTCTCAACTAAACAATGACTAAATTTAGACGCCCTCTGCCCACTCCGTCTGCAGCTGTGCTGCTGACTCATGGGGACCAGGCCGGCAGGATGAGCAGACTCGCCATCTACGAAAGCCGCGCCCGGGGCCGTGGCCCCCAACGCTGCGCCTCCACACAGGGCTGCGTGAGCCTTCCCCATACACAGGTCTTTCCTTTTCTTGAACAGGCAAAGAAGGCTAAACAGCTTCTGATGTGACTTTTGACATCAGTGGGAAAGCTCTTCTTTGCATTTAACCCTATTCTTTCTGCTGTGGCTTATGTCCATTTCTTTCTATTTTCCTTCCCTAAAGACATGCAGAATATTACTAAAGTAACAACTTGTTCTAAGCTCCTTGAGAAAAAGAGATATTATTTAATTATTAGTCCAGAAAGCTATCAGAAAAATTGCCAGGTAATAATTTAAAGCTTCCTAAAGTCAGCATGTCACAGTTCCCTGGCAATGAGAAGCTACCTCCAAGGAAAATCCTTGATTTCAGCGGTAAAATGGGCAAGAGTACCACAGTCCCTCTACTGTACCTAATACTGCTCTCTCTACAGCAAGGGCTGATGGTTGACCAGTGCCGGAGCTAATCTGGGAGTGTAGGGGCCGCCTTACAAAACAAAGCCTCCTCCGTTCCCAAAATAGCCTGCAACTGTCACCGCCACCAAGCGCCACCGGTCCAAGCGCTGACCTTGCTGTCGTGTCTCGGGACACTGCTCAGGCTACCTGCCTGGGCCCAGAACGGCGTCTCCCCAACAAAGTCCCGTCCACCCCAGCACAGGGGACATGCTGACGCTGGCCTTGGGGCAGCGGGACGCCTATTTGTTTGGATTTTTCAGCCCACGCTTGCCTTGATTTCCACAAATCAGGCTGACAAAAGTGCTGGGAGATGACGATGCTCGTAATACATCCCCACTGCATACCTTTAACTATTTTGTCCTTTATACTCCCAAACTTGGGTAATTCAATGACAATAATTTACATATAGTGTATATAACTCAAAGTTTATATAATTCCCCAAATTATATAATTTCAACTTTATGCTGAAAACCCTAACTGCCTGGAGATAACAGCAAAGAGCCTAATTTCGTTCACAAAAATATTTATCAGCCAAACCCCCTGAATCACCTATATGAAATTCTCAAGTCATTGCTAGCAAAGCTAGAATGTAAATTCCACAAGGGCAGGAATCTTTGACTATTTGTTCACTGATATATCCCAAACACCTAGAACAGCACTGGGCACCTAGTAGGACACCAAAAGATGTCTGTTGAATAAAAAGAACGAATGCCCAAATGCACAGGAAGTCATTTTCTATACGTTCTGTTGATTCTCGGTTATCTGGACTCACCAAAGGCTTCTCTCCAGACTAATCCCACCAAAATCATACGGCACATCCAAGTACGGGCTGGGGCTAGACTGAGGACGCTGCATATTGATGCCTCCCATACATTTTGTTGTGTTCACAGATCTCCATTCCTTTGATGCAGTGTGTTGAACAGTGGCCCCAAAAAGATACGTCCATGTCCTAACCCCTGGAACTGGAGAGTGTGACCTGACTTGGAAAAGGGGTCTTCGCAGGTGTAATGAGGTTAAGGTCTTGAGGTGAGACCCTAAGTCCAATGACAAGTGGCCAACTAAGAGGTAGGCAGGCACGCAGGCAGGGGGAGATCTGACAAAGGCAGAAGAGGAGGTGGCAGTGTGACCACGGGGACAGAGACTGGAGTGATGCGGCCACAAGGAACGCCAAACGTCACCAGGACGTTTGCAGTGTGGTCCCATCAACAGCCTGATTTCAGACTTCTGGCCTCCAGAGCTGTGAGACAATAGATTTCTGTTGTTTTAAGCCACGAAGTTCCTGGTTATGTGTTACAGAAGCTGCAGGAAACTAATACGACTGGTGCGGAACAGGAAGTCGGAACCTAGAGAGCCTGCCACGTCCTCACACCCTGGTACTAACAGCAGCGGGTCACCCTTCTTTGCCAGATGAAAGCTGGTCAAAAAATTAATTATACCACTTCTTAAGATACAGCTGCATTTAACAGAAGGTTTTAGAAGGTTTTTCGATCAATTTTCAGCCCAAAGAGCAATTGCCCTGGACGAGCTGACCAAGTGCTTGCGTTAGGCACGCTGCTGCAGGTGCTCTGGCCGAGGACTGGAGCTGACGCTCGGGGGGCAGTGAGTGAGCGGACTCACTCATTCATGGTGAGCCCGCTGTGGACACAGCGTGTCTGAGCTCAAAGTCCCCTTGCTCCAGCAGGGCAGCCTCACCGTGGGACAAGAATTCAGACGAACAGATTCAAGGTGATAAGTCAGTACATTTGGAAATCTCAACCATCAGCACAGATCAGCACGAGAAGGCTCTACCTTACTGTAGTTCATACCGCCTGACCCAGTGCTTGAGTCAAACCTTCCATTCCGACCGTGATACAGTGTAACCACTACTTAAGTGAGAATCATAACAGCAGTCTGCTCCAACAGACAGGTGACCCAGCCACTGTCAGCTCTGTGTGAAAGACTCACAGCCCCACTGGCATGGACAGTTTGGCTCCCAGATGGTGAGAACTATATTTGATTATGTACTCAGTGGTCAGGCAGGCTCTGGACACAGATCTGAGGCCTTTCAGGAGAGAGAGCCAACAGAGACATCAGAAGGAAAGAATTTTCCATGGAGTGTGCACTAAGATTCTTGCTCTCGATAAACTGGCATGCTATCCCCAGACTGTAAGTGTTCATAATTTGGGACCAGAGAACACCTTCCTTCAGTTAAGAGCAAGTATTATACTGTCTAAGGGTTGACCGTATTTAGATTTCAAAAATATGTTCATTCTGGGTTCTAATACGACATCCTCAAAGTGCCGCAAGCCCTAACCCTTCTAATAACGTTTCCCTCAACCTTCCCCGTGCATTTAAATGAAGAAAAGCCCATTAAGTTCTCTTACAGGCATCACCTTGGCAACTTCTGTACTATAAAGGCTATATACAGCTAACCTAACTTTTGTCATCAAGGCAGGTTTCTGAAAAGTCAAGAAGAAGAAAGAAGATGAAGAAAGGGCCCAGAAAATGAAAGCTGCATCTTCTCAAAGCCCATGATTATTCTCAAACAGAAGTTTTATAGTTCCAGTCTCCAAATCTCTATCTGTCACTCACTGATAATCCTAATATTGAGGAAAAATAAATGAGGCCTAATAATCGTGGTAAATTCCAAGCATGAGTTTCTCTCAGATCAAAAGAGTATATATGGCTAAATCAGCCTGACACTTGTAGAGCAATAAGAAAGCCCCTGGAGAGATTATCTTCTTACAGATTGTGCACATAAGGGCTGAGGCATACCAAGTCATGAAATGATTCACCTTAACAGACTAGATCAAAAGAGGTTCCTTGGGAAAAGTAGACTGTAACAAAGCTGTAGAAGGAAGGAAGGAATGTGGCAGCTGGAACAGTCAGCATTATGACTTTGCATTCTACAGATGCAGAAACTAGCTCAGAAAAGTTAAATGAATTATTTAAGGTCACATACTCAGTTGTGGAACCACCTAAGTTTTCTACCTACCAATTTAGAGGCACCCAAAACAGTATTCATGGGCCATGCTCAAGATACCACTTGGCCCACGGAACTTTTTTTTTTTTTCTGGCTGCGCTGTGTGGCATGAGGGATCTTAGCTCCCCAACCAGGGATCAAACCTGTGCCCCCTGCATTGGGTGTGGGGAGTCTTCACCACTGGCCCGACAAGGAAGCCCCTTGTGTGTGTGTGTGTGTGTGTGTGTGTGTGTGTGTGTGTGTGTGTGTGATGGAACATTTCTAATACCTGACACTATCCTCCTAAAAATGGCATTGCTTTAGCATATACAGGGTAAACTGACATTAGTCTAGCTCTGCAATAATTTCATATGAGGAATGTGGCCAACTGGTTGATGTTGAGTTGGTCACTCCTGACTAGACTAAATGCAAAACACAAAGATCCCATTTAAAGTGCCTGGGTTACCACTGTTTATTAGCATGAGTCTAGATTAGAAACCTCCCCCATAGCTTGGCTACCTGTCCTAACCGCAGCCCAAGGTCCACCCTGCTGCCAGTTGGCATGTAAACTGCTGTCCCATGGAGAGGGATTTTTCTATTTAACTCCAGATCACTCTGTGCCCATAAACAAGTGTTTCACAAGCCACAAGAGTATGGTCTGAAAGCAAGGGCACGGGCAAGGTTCCACGCTGTCAAGTAAGCCTCAAAAAAGGAAGGCAGGCAATTCTGGGACCTGAGCTGTTGGTAAGGAGTAAAAGCCACAAAGAAATTACAGGAAGGTCAGACTCTCAAAGTATAAATCAGTACAGCAAATTTTATTCCTAAAAGAAGACATTAAGCAAGAAGTGATTATTTTCCCAGCATTTTCATCCAGAGTTTTGCATAGGCAAAGCTACTAATATATTAGTCCCTATCACTTACTGTCATGTCTTCCCATGGGCAGAGTCCTACACTGCAGAGGCAGCAGGGAACGCAATCACACAACCCTACCAGGTACAGTGCGGTAGTCTGCAGTGCAGACTATGGAATTAAGACTGCCTGGTCAAACCCTGGGACGACCAATCAGTAGCTCTGTGTTCTTGAAACAAGTGGTCTCTGTGTGCTTCCGTTCCCTCATCTGCAAAATTATCGTACCAATCACAGTACCTACGTCATGGGTCACAGATGAGCTAAGGTACACAAAAGCACTTAGTGCCCAGTATATAGTTTGATGCTATGGAAGTGTTAGCTGCTACTGTGACTATTAGCAGTATATTATTATTTTTGTTTAGTCTCTAAGAGCACAAGAAAGGGCAAAAATTATATACTTCATTTAAAATAAACACAAATATAGTATAAACTCTACGTAAGTTCCAACAGATGCCAACAGGCCACAGAAGTCGGGTTCTGTTAGTAAGAAAGAGAAGAAGTAAATGAGAGGTGGGACTAGAGGAAAAAGGAAGGACGACGAGCCAGCACTGGAAGAACAGCTCACAAGGGGGCTCCGGGCCCACAGACCGGGTTGTACAAACGTAACAGAGTCGCTGCTGTAGAGGCCCATCAGGTCTGCTGTTAGCACAGGCAGAAAATCTGAGAAGACAGATTTAAGTTGCAGACCTGACACTGACACATCACCAAAGAACAGGTTAAGACTTTATCTTAGTGACGTGTCCCTTGAGTGTGAAGCACTCTCATTCATTCACGTAACAAACATTTACTGAGGCCTATACTATGCCAGACATAGTGCTTAGGAAGAGAGGCAGGAATCAAAAATGAGGAAGACTTTACCATTTAGTGGTAGAAAAAGTCATTTAAATGATACATGCAAGAGGAATCATACTCTAACATAAAATAAGAGACATGTACAGTGTTAGAGCTCAGAGTACGACGTCACTAACTTTGTCTGGGGGTGACGGGGAGCACCTCCCAAATGGGTATTATTCACCCGCGTCATAAAGGAGGAGGCATCGCCAGCTGAAAGCGCAGGGATAAAGAGAATCAGAAGAAAGGGAACAGGACATACAAAGATCCAGAGGAGAGGGAAAAAAAAGTTTTTTGGAATGGTGAGAAGTTTGGCCTGTTTGTACTCAGTCGGGGGGCGGGGCATACATGAAAATCTGAACAGGGCTTCCATCTGCCAGACTGAAGAGTTTGAACTTGACCCTGCAGGCTAATGGGACGTGGAAGGAGGAGAGGCTGGTAGGGTAGACTGGCAGCCATGAAGGCTCCATATCCCCCTATAAAGACTTTAACCTTAACCTGAAGGCAGCAGGGAGGGCCTGAGGTTTTGAAGCCAGGGGGTGAGACCATCAAAACTGTCCGAGAAGGCTTCCCTGGTGGCGCAGTTGTTGAGAGTCCGCCTGCCGATGCAGGGGACGCGGGTTCGTGCCCCGTTTCGGGAAGATCCCACATGCCGCGGAGCGGCTGGGCCCGTGAGCCGTGGCCGCTGAGCCTGCGCGTCC